ATAAATCCTAAATAAATCCTAAGTAAATCTTAAATCTTAGATCAAATCTAATCAATTCCTAAATCCTAAATAAATTCTTAATAAATCCTATAGTAGATTGAAACATCAACAATTAATGATTGAACTATTGATATTAACTCAAATTTTTTATACTTCTTAAAAAGTTAGTTAAAAACAAGCACAAGAAAAATTAGAATTAATTGAAATAACCAATTTAAAAAAATATAAGATAATCCATTTGACTGTTAGGTAGCTTCTTTTTCCAATCTTAATGCCAAGCTCCTATGCTGATATCTCCTTTTTAAATCATTGAATTTCTTTCAAAATTTATAAAAATATTAAAAATAAAGTCTACTATTCTTATAAATAATTTTTATTTCAATCCAATTAAAAAATTACTAAAAAACTTAGAAATTCTTACTAATCTTTAAATTCCAAATTTTGAGACCTCAATCTACTGGACCTTTAATAAACTTCAGCATAATCATTCAATGAAGCTTAATTTATAGCAAAAATTTATCATAATTATATTCATGAACATACAAATTTTTATTTTTTTGATCTAATATAAAACTCACAAAATTACATAAAATATCAATTCTATTTTATTTCACAAAAACCATAATTACCTAGAATAATCCTAACTTTGTAAAGCTCTTGTAAAGTTATTATAAACTCAAGTCCTTCAAAATTAATGCTCAAATAAGCCTAATCTGGTTTACTTTCAAATTTTATTTTTCAATTTGCTAAAGAACCTCAAAAACAACATTAGTGCTTAGTTTTGTCCTTTAGTATCTAATTTCAACCTTAATTGGTAATTAATCCTTTCTCAATATCAATTCTTGTTTTCTTGAGATAATTTTTGTTAAAATCAACTTCCAACTTTTTCTTATATATGTTTATATCCTTTATTTTTCTAATCTATCTTATTTTACTTTAATTATGACTTTACAAAGTAAATAGAATTTATTTTCATATAAAGTAATTTTAATACTATAAGATTTTACTTCTTACCTATCTTTTATCTATGTTTTCTACAATATCTTTTTAGTTAGGCTCTTCTGTAATAAAATACTTTCTTTCTTTTTTCTTTCACCTAATAGCTATGTTACTATACAACAATAGATACTACAATAAGGTGTAAACTTCCATACCAAGATTTATTATATATTCATGCTTAAAATTGAAATCATTAAAAGAGCAAACATTGAAGTAGTCTTAATGTATCTTAGTATCAAAGACAAGAATTCAAAGAATACAAATCAAATTTGAGATGTATACTAAAAAAAAAAAAAAAAAAAGTAAGTAAATATATATATTTAAGAAGAAACTAAAATGATTATTGCTAAAAGACAAGAAAATTAAAGACTCTTGAAACTAGATTAGAAAGAAGAAAAAAATTGACAAAAGTGGAGAAGGCCCTATTCTTGCCTTTATATATATTATCTAACTAGGAGCTACATAACAATATTCTATAAGACCTCCAATATGTGTCTAGACTTTAATAACCATGTGGCACATCTATTAAAGTCTAAATATCTAATTTACATCTAAAAACTTTTTCAAAGATTCTAAAAGCAAATATAATCTTTTTAACATAATTTTATCTACTTCTAATTATTTCAAATTATTTGAATGATATATAAATTTATTTCAAAAATAATTTATTAATAAATATAGACTAAAAAATAAATATTAATGATTTTAAACTTATAATATTAATTAAAAATATAAAATAAAATTAAGTATTAAAGATTAAAAAAATTATATAAATAATTGTACACTTAGATATTATGTAAAAAACTGTAAAATTAAATAATTAAAAAATAAAAATTAAAAATATATTATATTTTTTTAAAATTAATTTAATTTGATATTTTTGAATATATATATACATATATAATTTTTGAATTTTTTGTAGACTAAAAGTATATTAAAATAATTATGGTCTAAAAAAATTTTCATTCCTAACAAATTGCAATGAATTTAAAAATAACTTATAACAATGTAAAGAAGTAAGAAAAAGTTATTAATTATAAATCTAATATAAGAGGATGATTTAAAGTATTAAGACTATATCTAATTATAGTAATAAATCAGAAATAAACTTCTTATTAAGAAATTATACATTAAGCCTAATTTAAGATAATATCACCTTATACAAAGCATCTAAATGTATATTAAAATCATTTATCTTACTTAATTTTATTTTTATTTTTATAATATTTTTAGATCAACATATTGATTAAAATTTATAAACTCAAATTTTTCATTTTTTATTTAAATAATTTTATTCTTTTTTATGTACTTTTTATATTAATATATTTTAATATTTATCTAAATTTATTTAAATTGATATTACTAAAGAAAAATAAATAAATAAATACATAAATACATACCAAATTTCATAAAAGTAAAAATAGTTTGAACAAGTACTTAAGTTGGATGCAAACAAGAGTTATTGACAGTAACTAAGATGAATATGATTGAAGTATGACTACAACTTTAATTAGGCTACTTTCATCCAAATGATGTAATGCAAAGGAAAACAAACAAAAAAAAAAAAAAAAAAAAAAAAAAAAATCTTTAACCATCAACCATTCTATTGTTTGGAAGACCTTCTTCCCTTGAATAATTATCTGAGTTGCCTTGCTACCATAAATTCAATAAGACTTATTTTACTAGAAAGCTAATTTCAAGAGGTTTTAGTACAGTCAAAATTTAGAATAATATTCTCCTTGAGTATCAAAAAACATACCAAGTAACAATCTTTAAAAAATAGACAATAAACATTCCAAGATATTCTTATGAACTTATTTCTAATTTCTTAAATCTTAAGTTTTGATTATTAAATTCTATATTTAAATTATAATATTTTTTTAAATCATAGATTTAAATCTGTTTTTTCAGAGACATTAGATTTAGTTTATAAGAGTATAAGTTTAAAAACCTCTATTCTAGAAGAATGTTATTTTATTATTAATCAATTATAAAAATTTGGTTTTATGAAATGAATTATATGTCTAAATTATTTTAGAAGTAAAATAGCCTAATTTCTCAATTTTGTAATTTTTTTCATACAGAATCTCTTATTTAAATCTTGTTATTGAATTCTGAATTGAGAACTTATTCATTTTTTTTTTTTTACTGAATCCAAATTTTTCATTTTTTTAAATTATAAAATCTCGATTTTATATATTACGACTATGTGAATTTGTTAAGTTTCTTGTATTTTATTTTGTGCTATTTATAATTTTTGATATATTTCCGATTCTTAAAAAACAAATTCCGAAAATTGAATATGAATTTGTAAATATTCGATCCTCAATTGTAATAGATACTGTTTAATATATATATATATATATATATATATATATATTTGTCAAGCATAAACCCTTTTCGTACTTGCTTTTACACTCTTAACTTTAAGTTGTCATTAATTCTTTATGCTGTGATAAAATTGAAAATTTATTTGATTTTACTTATTGCCTCATCCTTGAGTATTACGTGAGATTGTTGAATCATTTTTTTTGTATTTTTAGCTTTGCCTTGACACTCTGCTGTTTCGCTGAAATGTTAATTGAAAAAATTCAGAATTTTAGCTGACTAGTAAAGTTATGTTATTTTAACAGTTTGGGGCTTTTTAAAAAAAAAATTTTGGATGTGTTGTTGCGTAACAATAGTTGTGTGGTTGAGTATTTCAGGTGATATGTTCATTCAATACACGGTACTTCACCTTATTTTCTTCCTCATCTGAACTTGTATGGGTATGATTCGAGATAATATTTGAACCCTAACTTCTCTGAAATACACATACATGACTCATTTTTGACATTCCTCAGTTGGAGTGAAGGTTATCTTGCAGCACCTAAACAAATTCCACTCGTACTTTCGCCCATATTGTAGCATTGTGCTTGGGTATACATATTCCTCTTCAGGATCTGCCACGCATTATATTAAATCCTCATTCACGAATTTCACAATCAGTCTCCAAATTTATGAAGGTGATTTAGTTGAGAATGGATATTTCCGCGGTTGAAAGAAAGAAATTAATAATAATAATATATCAACTGCTACTTCAAGACACAAGTTATGGTAAACCTGCAAAGCGTGATGAAAGTCGTGCGATCCAGAGATGGGAAAGCTAAACATGGTGTAAACCAAAGTGAGACAATAACACAGTTAAGTTATGTTGAGAAGAGTAGATGTGGAGGGGTGCTTGTGTCTGGAGAGTCTGACAAAAAGGGAAGTGAACGGAAAGGTGTGGGGTGGAGTGGATTCATCGGAATGATCCATGATATCTGGGCGATTCAAATGATTGATGGGACCTGCAGTCAACCAGTATGATTTGTATGCTGTGGAATATGAATTGACTCAATACAGAGCAGCACTGTGGAAATGGCTTTCCGGGTGAAGCAACTGTGGATATTTCATATTACCCAGTCAAAAAGAATAATGCGTGACTCACCGTGTTTCCATATTCTGCGAGAAAATAATTATTTGAATAAGTTAACCATTGAGCAGCCAGGGCACAAAGTAAATGGCATTTCAACAATGATGGGACTTGGTGGGTCCCGCAAATGTTATGACCAAGAACAAAACAGGGTGAGCTAGGCAAACAGAGTGCTAGGGGAAGGGATCGAGATGGAAGGAACAGAGCAGTCTTGAATTACGGGATGCGGGGTACTGAGTAGTGGGAATTATTGTTGCAATAACCGATCAAGATTAGCTCCGCACGAAGAAGTCCATCCCAACTGCACTACCAGCACAGGCGCGATGACGGGTCATGAACGGGCAACCCAACCAAATAATATTATAGGATAATTTGTTGCCACTAACTTGCCACCTGCTTGGAGAAAGATTCTGGTGCGTCTTTGCCAACGAACAGCTGTGGGTCTATTACCACGCTAGCTTCGCTGCCACGGCGGCCACGACTCAGTCGAGGTGAGTCCGACTGATTGTTGCTTTGATCAGTGAGTCATTGCCAGGCGTGCGCTGTTTAAGTAGTAACTTGGAACGCTGTCATCAGAAGTCAAAACCGAGTGGGTGCTCCCAAGAAACCAAAACAGGCAGGCGGTCTCTCTGTTTCCCTCTCCCCATCTCTCCTTCGCCGTTCAGACTTCTCACGACCTTCCCCATCCCTTCTCACTCCTCTCTTACCCCACCTCATCTATACTTCCTTGCTCTTGATTTCTCGCTCAGCTGCGTTCCAATCTCTACCCAACAATTCCACGTCACAGCCGTCCTCCATACCCCAGGTTACACTCACACCTTAAACCTCTTCTCGTCCTTCCATTGATTGCCAATCTCTCATATCCACGTTTATCTTGAAGACTTTCCTACTACAGCAGTTCCTCCCATTCTCTTGTTTTCCTCCCAAGAACTTCAGCTTTTCCATCTGATGATCAAATCTAAACAACCTTGTGAGTTTACTTCGTCAACTTTTGAGGAGCCCCATCAATCTTGTTTCGTTGTTCTTGACTTGCATAAGCAGGCCGAACAAAATTTAAGGAAAATTCATTCCTTTCTGACACTGTGTTGCAGGAACAGACAAACTGATATATTCTTCTTACCGACTGAAGCAATCGTTTGTGCTGTCAAACTGACTCGTGGTCGTCTTCACATTCAATTATGCTTCTTGAGTTGTGATTGGAGCAATTTTGAGTCTGACAAACGGAATTTTCGGTATTTGGTAATTGTGCTAAAAAACTTCATCTTTAGTTCTTGTTCTTTGGTAAAGCTAGTCAAGTATGGAACTTCTCATTCACAGCAATTAGTTAAAATAATTCTGCACAAATTATTTCTGCGCATCCTGCAATTTGAAGGAAATCAACACAGAGCGATGTAGTCAGACAGTCTTTCTCCTAATTTTATGAGTTTCTCTCAGTCTCTAGTCCGTATTTCTCCATCTCCTCGGAAACCTTTCATGCAGGTTGCAAATTTTAAATGCTTGTGTCTATTCGAATTTCTGTCTCCTTATCATTCCGCGTCCAGGGGGCTTTGATAGTTGTCTTTTGAGCTCAAGTCCACTCATTTTTAGCACGTGCGTTTTCTCCCTTTCGTTTTCCTAAATCAAGCATGTTGGATTGCAGTGATAGTGTGGCAATCCTCTTAAGCTGACCAGGGCGTTTCTCTTCCTTTCCCCTATCTACCATTCCGTTAGATCTTTCGGCGAACTACAAAACGAACCAAAGGGACGTAATCCAGGCGGGTTGCAACCTTCAATTGTAATTATTCTCTTGATCGATAGCTTTATAAACCCCGCCCCTTGATTCTCTGAATTGTTAAAAAAACATAACGAAGGGTTTAAATATCCGACGTTATTGTGTAGGTGTTCTTGTGAAGCAGCTGATCATTTAATGCGAGAGGGATCACAAGTTTGACTGAACCTTGGTTGTCTGCTGCAGCTCCTCATCTCTTCAAAACAGGGCAAATAATTCTTGGTAGCTCGTCTTTGAATTACTGGGTCAAACATGATGCTTACAGGAAGGATATCTCCCGTAAACATGGTCGCTGTTGGTGTCTCACACGGGAATTAGATAAATGTGATCAATGGATACTGGAGCAGCAATTGACAATATTCATATGCTTGCAGAATCTGTTTCGGGGATGAAGAACTGCAATTCCAACCATCCTTGAAGGCTAGAAAAATATTCAAACTCCGGCAGTAATGCAGCTGCCGTGAGGCCGATACACCAGTGTGTGCAAGGTACTTCTTTTTGAGAAGCAGAGAACTGTTGAGCTTAGCTGGAGGCAAGGTGAGGAAGGAGTGGAATAGCGCTCATTCAGGAGTATTCGTCAGTATAGAAGCAAAGAGCACCGAGAATGAATCTGAAGAAGAGTTCCGCCTGGCAAAAATTGATGAATTACCCGGGATCGTCAGCATCAACAAAATGGTCGCTACCTAGAGGTCGAAGTCTGCAGAGGATGGCGCATAATTTACGGGTGACCATCTTGTGTGGGTTTGTCACGGTATTAGTATTGCGGGGGACGATCGGCACGTCGTTTGGATCACAGCGCAAGGGCACTGTAGAGCACAGTGCTCAACCTAAGATCTTCAGTGATGAGAAAAGCTCGCGGGAGCCCCGACGCGTCCTCAGCGCGACTACCGAGCCCGAGACGGATATAGAGCCAGTCCTGGACTCAAGTTTGCCGTATAAGTTGGGGCCGCACATCAGCAACTGGGACGAGCAACGCGCGATGTGGTTGCAGAAGCACCCGAGAATGGCAAAGACAAGTCGCGGCAGGGACCGAATCCTGTTGGTTACGGGGTCTCAACCTAAGCCTTGCGACAATCCTGCCGGAGACCATCTGCTTCTCAAGAGCCTGAAGAATAAGATGGATTATTGCAGATTACATGACATTGAAATCTTCTACAACATGGCGCACTTGGACCAAGAGATGGCAGGGTTTTGGGCCAAGCTGCCGCTGCTGCGCAAACTCATGTTACAGCATCCAGAGGTAGAGTGGATTTGGTGGATGGACTCGGACGCTATGTTCACGGACATGCTCTTTGAGCTCCCCATCGACAAATACAAAGATCACAACATGGTACTGCATGGCTTCGATGAGATGGTCTACAAGATGAAGAGCTGGGTGGGACTCAACACTGGAAGCTTTCTTTTGCGTAACTGTCAGTGGTCCCTGGATCTGCTGGACGCCTGGGCGCCCATGGGTCCCAAGGGTGTCGTGCGTGTAGAAGCTGGCAAGCAGCTCACGGCCACGCTTACAGGGCGCCCGGAGTTCGAGGCTGATGATCAGAGCGCACTTATCTTCCTGCTGGTTACACAGGCCAGACTGTGGGCATCCAAAGTGTTTTTAGAGAATCAGTATTACCTACATGGCTACTGGGTAATACTGGTGGAGCGCTACGAGGAGATGATGCAGAAGAACAAACCTGGCACTGGCGATGATCGATGGCCGTTTGTCACGCATTTCGTAGGATGCAAGCCGTGCGGTAGTTACGGCGACTACTCTGTGGAGCGATGCCTGAAACAAATGGAACGCGCTTTCAATTTCGGTGACAACCAGATTCTGGAGCACTACGGTTTTCAGCACCGCACCTTAGAGACATACAAAGTGCGACGCATCCGCAATGACACCTCCAACCCTCTTGGTCTCCGTCAGCTCCCTGCCATCATCACCAAATCCGACAGAATCGCCACTCACTTGACAGCAAGTGACACTTAGACGAACAGTTCACAAGAAGATGATGTTGCGCCAGTCCAACATGACACCTGGTCTCGGCATTTCGAATCAGATCATAATTGAGGCTTTTCTTTCACATTTCCTCCATCGTTCTAGACGTTCAGCTGTTGTCACCCTACTCGGCTCCTGCCACAATAATCAGTAGTCGGTTAGAGCGAGTACGTCATGCTTGTGGATTCTGGACTGGTACGTAGACCAAGTGATGACGTTCTAGGAAGCGCAGACATTTTCGTCACGAAACAAAAGTCACAATGACGGCTACTTTACCATCTAGTAGGTTAGTTAAATCTTCGAAAAATTCACTTATTTGTGATTTTTAGGTCTATTCGACAAACTCACATGAAACACGCATCAAAAAATGATTCATAGAAATCTGGGTAGTACTTTCAACACAGAAGTATGAAACCTACTTACTCAGACATGCCCTTCTGTTGCGCAAACTTAAACCCAGGTTTTAATGAAATTTCGTCAATAACCCTGGGCCAAACTCCCACAGCATGTTGAAGATATTACGAACATATCGAAATAAGCGACAGTTCGTTTTCAAAATACTATTTTGACCAACTCAGCAGTTGAATGTATTCCTCAGACTTACAGGTCAAACGAAGTCAGCCTATTTGTTCACTTTCCATCTGTTATATGAGCATTAAGAAACAATTGCAAAGTGTATTCCAAATCTGTCAGAATTAGCGTCGTACAATCACGCGCTGCCAAACCAAATACAAGAGTTACATCAAGAACTCTTGTTTGAAATGCGGGCTTACAATCAAGTTAGAAGCTTGAACTTGAAATAATCTGAATATGTTGTGGTTCCATCTTCTCTGCCTCCAATATCTATTAGAAAAATTAAGCATAAGAATTCCATATAATATAATTTATTAAGTAACATAATGTTTTGAAACCATGTTTTGAACCCAACCAGAGCCACCCCACCCGAGGAAGAGGAAGAGGAGCAGGAGTCTCCTCTAAGCTCTGTTTAGTGCTGCCAGAACTGGTTAACACAGATATTCGGCTGAATGAACATCCATCGCCATCGACTGAGGCGAGATGGATGAATAAATAGAAGCTTTATCGAAATTTCACGCGATATTCATCCTCATCAGAGAGAAATGGCGGGAGAAATGGCGCCAATTAGGGTACTCAGATCTTCGTCTTCGCCTTTGGACCATGCGACGTTGCGAGGGGCTCAGACAGAATTCACGATCGCACATGCTCGAGATGGCCTCGATGAGCTTCACATGAGGAACTGAAGTCGAGTGAGGATAGTTCACTTGTGGCTACAACTTCAGGTTTTAGTTCTTTTTTGGGTTTTGGTCCTCGTTACGTGGAGTCTGAAGAATCTAAACAGAGATTGTCACAATGGGGAGTGTTGCGGAGGACATTTTGTTCAATTCAAGTGATGAGACCGCCGGGATGCTTGTGAAGCGCCTTTTCCTTGATTTTCTAATCGGGTAAGCCTCCTTGCCTTTGATTCTTGGTCATTTTCCGTCACAGCATTCGTATTTATATAGAGAGGCAGCACTATGCCCGCGGACCCTTCCTCCGGTTTGGAATAGGCTCCTGTCCTTGTGAGAGTAAATACCCGACGAGGGTTTCATACTGTTGCTCTAGCATTTATAATTGGTTTGTTGGTGCTACAATGGTGATTGGGATCACCAGAGTACAAGAATGGTATTTGGGAATGATTGCGGAAAACTAGAAACTGGAAAAATGCCATGGAATCACAATGTGAGTGCATTTGATTCCCGAATGTTCGTGCTCGTATCTTTTTTATCAGCGGTGGCTATGTCGTGATACAGCAGCGGTCTTAGGAGTTGACCTTTCTGTGACGGAATCGTGATTAACCTCACGAGTTGTGGCAGGTTCACAGCTGAAACTGTGGCGCAACCGCAAGCAAGTGACGATATGCATACAGATGCTCGGCCTCATATATATGTCGAGGAGTATGAGAAGATGCGAAACTGCAGTTCTACAACCATGCCCGTGGATTTCAACCACATCATGCAGCACAACAATACGCTACAAATGGCTGTCTCTGAACAGTATTTGAGGTACATTGTTCAGGTTCTTTCATTAGTCAATTCGACCATCATTTCCTTATATTGGAACCACTTCTTATTTTCTCATCCACTAATATTTCGCCTCTCCATTATAAAGCAATTTGTTTTATTGCCTGTACGTACGTATTGAAGCATGGAATTTTTACTCTTTGATGCAACGTCGTCGCTGGGACAGGTTTGAATCAATTCTGAAGGATGCTATGCAGCAATTTGCAGCTCAACACACTAGACGTATTCAAAGCCAGAATGAAAAGAATTGCAAGGATATATGGCTAGCGTTCCACAACCTCCCTCGCATACATAAGTGAGTTAATTCGATTGCTGCGTATGTGCAATCATAATAAGTTAACTATTCTCATCTGGATCGTCTCTAAGTTACCAATCTGACGGGAATGCGTACTGGCAGATTGAGGGAGCTAGATACTTTTCAAATTGGAAAGCTTATATCAGTCAGTGGAGTTGTTACAAGAACTAGTGAAGTGCGACCAGAGTTGCTGGCCGGCAGTTTTAAGTGCTTGGACTGTGGAACTGTTATCAAGAATGTTTTGCAGCAGTTCAAGTATACTCAGGTACGCATGGTGTTGGTTTCTGGAATATCTTAATGTGATGTTTCATTAATGTCGCCACCTGCAGTGTTTTTGCTCTTTCACTTGAGTGGTTAGCCTCTGAAGGATGCGTTTTAGGAGCTTCTTTACTTCGTGAAAATGGGCGTATTTATATTAAATTATTCTTCAGAAACAAAGTGAAAAAAGTAATTTGTATGAAGTAAAAATCTGAGAGGTGCCGAATTGGACTGTGAACATCCCATCTCGCTATTTTGGTGTTTGAGAGCTGAAGTAACTGTTTGATTGCAATTTGTATCTCGATTTCCCTGTATCTTGCTTTTCCATGAAGGAGTTTGCTGTGTTCAGGTGAAATGTTTAATCTGTAGCGCCTGCTGGTCGTCTGACACGAATTATTGGGGTGTATCAGCCTGTGGTTTGTACCAATGCAACCTGCTCAAATTCTGAGAGGTGGGCGCTCGTAAGGCAAGAGTGCACGTTCACAGATTGGCAACGAGTGAGGATGCAAGAAAATTCTAATGAAATACCTGCTGGATCTTTACCACGAACTCTGGATATTATATTACGTCACGAGATTGTTGAAAGCGCTCGGGCCGGTGACAAGTGAGTGTCTTGACATTTTCCCCGTAATTATCAGCCTATGAACTAAGATATACTAAGTCCTCTGATCGTGTTATCTCATTATTTGTGAGCTTAGGTACTGGATTAGCCAGTGCCTAAGAAGCGAATAAGAGTGCTTTTGTAATCTAGATGCTTCTCATATCACATGTCATTCTGTTGGGACAGACTTGCTTGGATTTGTGAATTCTTTACTTTCTTGCTACTCTTCATGATGATTAGATTATAGTCGATTAAGAATGCTGCTCTGCTACTCTGCAGGTGTATATTCACTGGTACAGTAGTGGTGATCCCGGACATAGCTGCTATTTCTGCCCCAGGCGATAAGGCGGAATCTAGACGGAAGGCTGGCGAAAGAGGTAACCGCGGTGGCGGTGGAGGTGAAGGTCTACGTGGCATCAAAGCCCTTGGCGTCCGGGATCTTTCATACCGTCTTGCTTTTGTAGCTAACTCCGTCCAGGTAACATTCGTAGTAGTTATTTTCAGCTGAGTTTTCGTGGTTCGTATCTAGACACTTAACGATGCTCATGATTTCATCGCAGGTTGCCCATCACACATGTTTTGTTAGGGTGGTTTGCACTTAGTTATGATCACAACTGCATGTGTTTCCTGTATATTTTGTACATCTGTATTCCTTAACTGGAAAGGCTAGACCATCACATCGACTAGACTATTCTTTATTACCTCCCAGAATATATATATGGTCCACAGATTACTCGTACTTCATCGATTCTTCTTTTATGGCCCACAAGCCTAGGGATGGTCTCCTTGAAGGCGTTTGCGATTATTTCAAAGCCCACAGCATGTATCTGTGTAATGTAGTGTTAAAACCACTATTGAAATGAGAATATATCTTCAAATCTGATGATTAAGGTTTCTGTTTTTTTACTCATTTGCAGGCTGCAGATAGAAAGCAAGATGGAATTGATATTCGCTCAGGTGGTAAGGATGGTGATACAAATGATGAAGATACTCTTGAACTCAAAGTAAGAGTGATACCTTGCCCTTCAATATGCGGCTGTTTCCAGATATCTTTCTTGATTCATAGGCTCTCGTAACGATAAGGAAATATGTCTGTAAACTTATGACAGACACATGAAATGCAATGCAGGATGAAGAGAAGGAAGAAGTGCTAAGAATGTCACAACAGCCACAGATATACGACCGCTTAATCAACAGTGTGGCTCCCACTGTTTTCGGGCACCAGGACATAAAGCGTGCAATATTGCTTATGTTGTTCGGAGGTGTACATAAACGAACGCACGAGGGAATAAATCTGCGGGGAGACATAAATGTCTGCATTGTTGGAGATCCTAGTTGTGCCAAATCTCAGTTTCTCAAGTACGAATTAATCACCCGTTCATCCAGAATTCTCAAACTTCTAAAGTCGTCGTTTGATGCCATCAAATTCTACTGAACATTATTCTCATATATGATGGATGTCGGGCGTCGCTATAAATAATATACTGTATTTTAAGCCTGGAAGTAACCCAAATTGCAAATTTTGTTGATAGTATTGTATATCTCTCTGATGTACTCGTGGTTACAGGTACGTGGCTGGCTTTCTCCCGAGAGCTGTTTATACATCTGGAAAATCTAGCTCAGCTGCCGGCCTCACTGCCAGTGTTGTCAAAGAACCTGAGACAGGCGAATTCTGTATTGAGGTACTGTGGTGCATCGTAGTTGCAACTCCACAAAGAACTCGTCACTCACGTGTTGCACTAATTCGGTTGAGAGAGTTTGGGGTGTAAAGTTTTTTTGCACGTTTTTCTTTCATCAAGTTTCGGCGCTTATTAATCTGGTGTTGTGAACATCCAGGCAGGAGCATTGATGTTGGCAGACAACGGGATATGCTGTATAGATGAATTTGATAAGATGGACATCAAAGATCAAGTATGCTTCTTTCTGTTAGTCTATATTCTGGAGATTGCACTATTGGATCTGAATTTTTGCAATTATCTAATGATTTGTGTAGTGGCGTCACTGTAGCTTTAATTTCGGTTTATGCAATGTTTCTGTGAGTTTTCGTCAGCTTAAAGGCAGGCGATGAAGTCTTTCAATACAAGTCTTTTAAGGCTCTGAGTTTGTCTCTTTGATAATACGTCTTTAGGTGGCAATTCACGAGGCTATGGAACAGCAGACGATAAGTATAACCAAAGCTGGCATACAAGCTACATTAAATGCTCGCACATCCATTCTCGCAGCTGCTAATCCTTCAGGGGGTCGTTATGATAAGTCTAAACCCTTGAAGGTCAGTTTTTACTGGCTTTGTTGTGAAATGGTTCTTAGTTATTTGTTTATTTGTTTACACTTTTAGTTTCATTGCGAACATCCATCTACCAGACGCCGAAATAGCTCTCGTTTTGTGACAGTATAACGTTGCACTACCACCGGCTATTCTTTCGAGATTCGACTTGGTACATGTAATGATTGATGAACCAGATGATATCATGGACTACAACGTAGCTCGCCACATTGTCAGAGTTCACCAACACCAGGAAGAGGCTCTCTCTCCGGAGTTTGCCACTGTTCAGTTGCAGCGCTACATTGCATATGCACGAAGTTTAAAACCCCAGGTATTCTCATCTATCTTCAAACCGGTAGTTTTACTATATCAAGTTGCAAACTTGAAGGCTCGAACCAGAGACACACCATATTTGCTGGCTAATCTGACAAAACGCTGTCAATATGGGGCAGTTATCAGCTGAGGCTAGGAAGGTGCTGGTGGAGGCATATGTTGCACTCAGGCGTGGTGATGCCCTTCCAGGCAGCCAAGTCGCATACCGAATTACTGTCCGCCAGCTGGAAGGGCTTGTTAGGCTATCAGAGGCAATTGCTCGTTGTCACCTTTCATCTGAGGTAAGTCCCAATCAATGGCCTTTCTTGTATATTGCCATTTATAGTATATTGGTTGAAGCTGGGGTTCATCTTGTTACTTAGTTTGTGAAGCTTGTTTCTTAAACTAAGCACATTAATGTTTAAATCATGGTGAAGCAGACCTCCGCCAACTTTCGGTACTACTAATTGCGGGTCTCGTAAAATTGTACAGGTTCGACCAGCCCATGTAAGAGAGGCAAGACGGCTTCTCAGTACGTCGATCATCAGGTGTGTCTTACAGTTTTGCTTAGCAGGTTGTGTTACTATTTACAAATTATTTTGACACTTCGCGCTCAGTTTGCATAAAATCACTTAATGAGTGGATTTGTTCCTGCTGACCGATCTTTAAACTGCAACTTCAGCCATAATAAAGCATGAATGGTTTGATTTCTGCTGGCTAGTTTGAAGTGGAGGTTTAGGGTTACAGTTCATTGGGTCGAACACCCCAGCTAGGTCGCTTGCACATCTGTCTGGTTGCTACATTAAATTCACTGGAACCCCCCAATAAAATATTCTCGTATTACGAGAGCATGTCAAAAGTGAATACTATGTAATGTGATACTTCCAATTCCCTTTCAAGAGCATGCTGCTCACATATATGATACTTCACATTATCTTCTGAGTCATGCAGTGTGGAGACGCATGCAATTGATTTAGATGATGTACCCGACGAAGATCTTGGCAATAGGCCAACGGAAAATGGGCACGATGTTGCTGTACCCATGAGCGAGGATAGGGATCCAGATAACAACGGCGTTGATGAAGACGAACAGCCTCATTCAACAAATGGCGGTGAAGGTGTCCTTTTTAGTCCTTTACACCAAATGCATCATGCACTGTTATTTGGAAGACTACCCATAGTACTGATGCGCGGCAGTTCTACCCACTCTTAGATCTCTGCGAAGTCGAGAACCATTCATTTTTATATGTATCGTTGGATGTGATATGATTATTGTGAAATCTAGATTGAGTGAACATAGACATTATTGAATTTTCAGGGGATCGAGATTCGAAGAAAAAAATGACGGTCACATTTGAACACTTCCAGAGAGTGACCCGTGCAATTGTCATGCATTTGCGGCAGCTTGAGGACTCGGTTCAAGATGGTAAGTTGGTAATATCCCAATTAGGTTAGGTGAGACTAATCGGATGATCTTAAGAATTTGCGACAATCCCATTTCTCTTCATAATCACATTTGCGATTCTTTTCCCACGTCTTACAGATCCTGCATCATCTGATTGTATTTCAGATTCCAAAGCAGCAGGGTTGAAACAAAGGGAATTGCAAAATTGGTATGTGCAAGAGACGCACGAGAAACAGCCATTCGAATCGATAGCAGAGATGGCGCAGGAGATGAAACGGGTGAAGGCTATCATTCAGGTGCCTGAACATATCCTTGCACTCATGCTACCGATTTAGATTACTTTCAAAATCCTGTCCACTTCTTCGACTAGGAACTTCACAGCAAGAATGTAATGCAGATCTTTTCGCACAATTTAAATACTTGTAAAGTTTGAGCTTTGTCAAAATACACGTTTGACAATGAATCCATTTGTGTTTACTCATGGTCGTACACGTACAGCATTTGATAAATCGAGAGGGTGTTCTCATCGTGCTGGATGATGGAGTTGAAGCAGCAGCTGCAGCTAGTGCTGCTCAGGAAGCGACAATTGCAGATGGTGATGATGCTTCAACACCAGTTCAAGCACCCAGACCAGTTAGAGCTGAAGACGAGCGGATTCTAGCGGTGAACCCTAATTATGTTCTTGATTGAAGGATGAATAGAGATGGAATGATTTTAGCTAGACTTTTGTGAACTGACTCGAAGCGTGGGCCGTTACCCTCAAGCTCATTAAGCTTGTTAACATTTACCGTTCGTTCTTGATCATTTCCAGGTGTGTAGGATGTGCCCCGACTCTCTGTTTGACTTTTCTCGTGAAATTTTATGCTGGAAGTCCAAAACAATTTCTTTTACTAGCCCAAAGCTAATGTAATAGTTCTTATTTCATGCTCTAAAACAAACATAAATTCTTTTTTTGTCTCATGATTCAAAAGTTTCACCTGAAAAATTCGTCTTATTTGCTAGTCCGTAGGTACTATCAAGGAACAAATGGTCTTAAGTTAAAGACTGAGATGTCTGATTTTTTCACCTTCTCACTTGTAAATGAATCCATCTCCGTATCCTTTGGGTTGCACCATGCAAAGAATATTAAAGCAGTCCTTTGACCTCATTTATTTAGAATTCGAGTATATTTTCTGAAGATCGCAATGGTAATTGGTCAACTACGAAAATTTCACTTGGAATTTTTGTCATTTGTATAATCATGTGAAGGGGACCAGTGCAACGAACCAAAGATTTGTTATGTCTTGTTTTTTATCTTTTGTAAGGGCCAACACTCTTGTTCGTTGTTTCAATTGGTTTTTCGGTGGGACAATGAGGACTGGGATCACTGTTAATACAGATTTCGGTAATGAATGTGGAAAAATAGAAACTGAAAAAATACCGTGGAATTACAGTGTGCATTTTACTCCTCCTGATTGTTCGTATTTTTAACTTCTGTATTGTCGGTGTCTATGTTGTTATATGGTAGCTGTCTTTGTAGTTGATCTTTCTGTGATGATACATAAAATTTCTCATATTGCTCATTTTATTTAGCACCAAAGTGTTAATATATGTGTAAAATTTTGATTATCTGAAGACTAAAAGGATGTACAATCTATGAAGAAATTGGTGACAAAGTTCTGTATACAAAATAATGATGTTTTGAAGAAGAATCCTTACACACATGTACCAAAAAAATATAAAAGGTATTGATAAATTTAATTGAAAATCTAACAAATTCAAAACAATCTCCATATTTCTGATCTCTTTGTTTTCATTTTTCATTTTTGTAACTTTCTATAGAGCAATTTATTTGTTGTGGATGACAAAGATAATAGATAGTCCGAAAAAATTAGAGTGACTTATTCGAAGAGAATTGATCTTATAGTAATGCATGCTAAGCTTAAAAAGAACATATGAAAAGCATAAATGAAGCTAATACAATAAAAAAAACATTTTGTAACTTTGTATTATTTAAATTGTCTTGTATTAATTATTACTATTCAAAGATGGAAGTTTTTTTTGTAACTTGTTGAATTGTTAAACCTAGACAACATTATACATAAATTTTTGAGAGTTTTGTATACTAAGTCTAGGTGATCTTGATTGTGATTTATTCTAATTGAAATTAGAATCCTATGGACACCTATTCATAACTTTGGACTGATGATTTACACATTTTTTACTCTCTTGTAAGTCTCATAGTTTTAAGGGAGATTCCATAATTAGTTCTTCTATTCTTTGCAAGTCTAGAGACAAATTTGTAGGACACAGAAATTCTTCATGAACACATTTGTAGTTTTACACCTTCTAGTATTTTTTACAATATTTACCATTTATTCTTTGAGTGGCATTACAGAAAATGATATTTTTGGATAAAGTGTTGTAATTATAAAATTCAACATTCAACATGAATATAAATATAAATAAATATTTTAAGACACAATTCAACAAATAAAGTGTTGTTTCTTTTCTGTTTTAAAAGCTTTTGAAAGAGCACTGTTTATAATTGAAATAAATCAAAAGTCAATATGTGATTGAAAATTCTTTATATTGCAATCTTTGTTATTTCTTAGTTATTTGATAGATTTAAATGCAAACAATCCTTTGATATGTGAATCAATAAATTGCTTTTAATAATAACTCTTGCAATAATGCTGGTATATATATGTATACCAAACACATTATGCAATAAATGCTTTGTTAATGTTTTTAAAACTAAATAAATACAATTTGCACATATGAATCTGTTTTTGAATAAGAGAAGAAATTCAAAGTTTCTTTCCGACTTTTCTTTTAATCAAATTCTTATTTTTCAAAAAGCTAATATCAAATAAAATAAATAAAATACTTTATTTCTAAAAAAAGAAGATAAAGTCATACAAAACTCAAGCATGTAAATTAAGCACTATTTTTTTGAAAATATATATATATATATATATATATATATATACATATATTACTTTTGTTAAGATTAAGAGATTTTACAAATTTTAAAATGTTCAAACAATAAAACCTTGTAAAGAAAATATTAATTATAAATTTAATTTTTGTATTTTCTTTATGGACTAACCAAGTTCTAAGAAAGATAAGAAATTTATGATTTTTATCATCCAAGCACTAATAGAAATATACCAATAATGACTTTTATATTTAATTGCACTATTTTTATTAGAACATGTCAAAATAGCAAGATGCTAAAATAAAATTTTTTAGAGACAATCACAAGGACTAGTTAGAGGCATGTTAAATAGAAATGGAAATAATGCTTTTTAAAGGATATAATTATGATATACTAGTTAGTTGGATATAGTTCCATTTAATAGAAAAATAAACTCACTTAATTCATATTTTTTTATAAGTTATCTCAATCTAAAATTAGAATAAAAATAAATTTAAAATATAACTTTAGATGGTGCTTATATGTCAAGAACATCAATCATAACAAAACTCTAAAGAAGGAATACACTTTAGTTACAATCAAAAAGAAAAAATAGAAAAATTATTAGTAAATGTAAGAAGTTAGAAATGACTATTGCTAAATATGAAGAAATTAGAGATTTTTGAACTAAGACAAGAACATAAAAAAGTCATCTACAAGAAAGACAAAGGTTTCATTCTTGAATCCATATATATGATTTAACTAAGATGGCAATATTCTATAGATGTTAGGGACATAGTCCTTAGAACCTTCTAGAGATAAGTTTCTAAAACCTTCTAGAGGCAAGTTTTTAGAATCTTTTAGAAGCAAGTCTCTGGAATCTTCTAGAAGCTTCTTAGTTGGTAGAAGATATTAGGGACATAGTCTTTAGAACCTTCTAGAGATAAGTTTCTAGAACCTTCTAAAAGCAAGTCTCTGGAACCTTCTAGAAGCTTCCTAGTTGATAGAAGTTGCTTGAGAAGCTTCCTAAATAGGAGTATATATTGGAATTGAGGGTGAAGAGTTCTTCAGTCTCAACAACACATCTCTTGGAGCTCTAGCTCACCTCTCTGGTATTGTTCTTGTATTCATCTGATTAATCTAGTTGTTGCCAGTTCTTCTTGAACTTCTTGTTAGATCTCGAGTCTATATTTCTGTGTTCGTGATAGTTTGTCGAGACTTCACTCACCTCAGATATCAGAGTTAGTTTCTTCCTCGTTAAAGTGCAAATTACCCCTCTGTTTGGAAGTGTACTAGCATTTTAGAGGTTGCGAATTATCCTCCTCTAAATTGATACTTCTTTTGTTACAATATTGGAGTCTTATTCTTCTTAGAGAAAGTGGATTATCCCTTTTCTTGAAGCTCTTAAGGCATTTCAGAGGTTGCGGAGTACCCTCCTCTAAACCAATATTGTCTTCTTGTAGAGTCATTTATGTCTTTCTCTTAGAATGGCCAGAGGCCAAGACATTAGTATGACGGAAAGTTCGGAGTCCAAGTTAGATGCTATCATGAATGCCCTCGCTACGTTATCGCAAAGAACTGCAAAGATTGAAGGAGTCGTGGCAAGGCTTCATAATGATGGAGCATCTGGGATGGCATAATCTAGGTTGCACCAACCTCAAACTTTTGCACTTGGAGAAGTAACTTTGCCTCAGGTTTGACAAGCACCGCTAGTTCTACAACATAAGGAGTCCCGAGTTAGCCTTTCAGACAAGTTCGATGGTACGCATTCCAAGTTTCGAGGATTTGTCAATCAAATTAGGTTGATAACAGTTTTACAGCCCGAACGCTATCCAATGGAGGAGTCACGTGTTGGGCTTGTTGGAACCTTACTTACAAGGCAAGCTCTATCATGGTTTGCTCTTTTGTTTGAGAAACGATCGTCCATACTAAATAAATTTGAAACATTTTTGGAAGCATTTATAGAAACATTTGGTGAACATGACAAGGTTCGATGGGCTACAACAAAGATCCGGTCACTACGACATGGAATGCGCTCTACATTAGTCTATGCATCGGACTTCAGGCAATTAGCATGCGACATCAATTGGGATGAAGAAACATTGATGAATCAATTCTATTGGAGTTTAAGGGATGATGTGAAGGATTTGTTGTTAACTCTTTTTGATCCACAAATGCTCAATGAAGCTATTAGCCAAGTTGTGAAGTGCTATAATCGCCTATTCCAATGCTGCCAAGACCAAAGTTTAAGACAACATAGGATTTGACACGCCCCAACTACGTCGACAAGCAGCGTGAATTCACATTCAGAGGTAGAAGATATGCAAATTGATGCGATACGTGTCAAATCTCTTACCCTAGAAGAAAAAAAGCGGCGTATGGAGGAAGGTCTATGCTTGTATTGTGGTGAAGAAGGCCACAAAGTTGGAAACTGCCCCAAGAAGCAAAACCGATGTATTGTCAAGACTAGAGGCGTGTTTGTTCAGAAAAACGAGGATACCCAGCCACAATAAGAACCGTGCGGCTGGACAATGAAATATCGTAACAACAACCAGATTCCTTTCTTTGTCCTCAACCTGCCCTTTGTTTTATAATCTCTTTGCTTATTGGCCCTCAGAAACTGAGAACTTTAGCATTATTAGATTCAGGAGCATCTCCTTGTTTCTTAGATGAAGAATTTGCGAAGTGTCATAAGATCCCTTTAGTATAAAAATCCAAACATGTTCACGTTGAGGCCATAAATGGGCGACCTTTATTGTTTGGTAGTGTCACCCATGAATCAAAACCTATAGAAGTGGCGTTTAAGGGCCATAGTAGTCATATTATTTTCAATATTATTAGAATCCCATGAAATCCTATTATTCTTCGTCTTTCCTGGTTGGAAAAGTATAACCCATTCATAGATTGGAGGTTGCGAAAGTTGACCTTTCCCACAAAACCACCCAAGAGCAAGCCTAGTAGAAAACCCCAAATAGAGAAATTCTTATTCATTGGAGCAAGAGCGTTTATAAGATCGTCCAAGGAAGGCACACTGTTTGTCATTTATGTGGCTCCAACTATC